ATAAAGATCCATCTACCGTTAACTCATAAAACGGGTGTTTTATTTAGGCCAAAAGCTTTTAAATTAAAAAAAAAATAAAAGGTATAAATATTTTTTTTTAAAAACACCTAATATTATAGTGTATTTAAATGCCAACACCAAATGCGATTATAAAATTTTTAAATTGGAAGAAAGGTTACATAATTGATTTTCCGATTTTCCTGATTTTCCGATTTAGTCGACAGTCCAAATTGGACTGTCGACTAAATTGACTAATATACTTTAATCAGTTGATGTATGTACACTGTGAAGCGCCTATCCCTATATTACCCAATTTGCCTATTTCCTAAAATCCCGGTTTTCAGATGGCAAGGATGCTCAACGTCGGAATAGAGGTTTGAAAAGAAAGACTACTGCTTAAAGCGGCCATTTATGAAAGTATTTAGGAAAATCAAAAGTATCGAGTGAACAAAAGAAGAAAAAAAAAAGAATTGCATTAACGATAGTTTAATTAAGAATAAATTTTTTTTTTCAATTTGTAGTTAAGGTACTCTTAGAAGTCCTTACAGTCTTATTATAGAGTACCGAAAGAGCATAAATAATGCTAATATGCTATGAATTAGATAAAAAAGAGAGTAAACAAAAAATAGTAATTGTTACAATTAGAGTATATAATAATAGTCATACTTCCTAAAATAGCCATTCATTATTAACACTGCCACCTGCAAATAGTAGGTAAATTTTAGTAAGTTCAGTTAGGATAATGTTTTTTGTTTGTTGACCAACACTTGTAAGGGTTTGTTGTCGAACGATTTAAGCGAACAATTTCATGTAAAAACTAATATCATTTGCTATTAGAGTTATTCTTTTTCGTAGAGATTAGTTGATCGTTTTCATTTACATTTCTTTTTCTAACGAGTTAGAGCTGAATCATCACCGGCGGCACTAGTCACCGGTAATTTTTCATCGGTGTCAAGCAGCCGTTTGATCGTATCGGTGTCAAGCAGCCGTTTGATCGTATCGGTGTCAAGCAGCCTGATTGTAACGTTTTATCGCAAACGTATAATTGACATTCTAATTGAAGTTAAACTATGTTTTAAGTTCAGATTGTAGCAGTGGCGTAATTATAAATTTGCCCCCTCCCCCCATAAAAGTAAAGAGGCTCTCCTTAAATTTTTTTTCAATTTTTTCTCCAAAAATGCCCGTAGGGATACGTAAAAAATTATAAAAGAATAAAATGTATTTGATAAAACAGAAATTAGTAACACTTTTTAACAGAAATTAGTATTATTATTACCAGTCATATTATTCATTTGAGTAAAATTTGTAAATCTCCGTAGCTCCGGGCCCCCCCTGCCTTGCGGGGTTTGCCCCCCCTCCTAGTTACGCCACTGAGTCCAATTATTTAATAGTCGTAACAACCGGGAGGCTGCATAAGCGCGAATAGGCATATGTGCGAACTGGCATAAGTGCAAAGCGTTGCAAAAACTGGCATAAGCAAACTGGCATATGTGCGAATTGGCATAAGTGCGCTAAAACATTTTGCAAACATTGGAATAAGTGCGAATTGGCATAAGTGAAAATGACATAAGTGCGATGCAGTTGCAAAAACTGGCGCAAATGCAAATTGGCAAACATTGTCATAGGTGGAAATAAGTTCGATTTTAAAAATTTCTTTTAAAAATAGTACCTAAAATAATTAAACTGAAAAAGTCATTACGACTCTCTTATTTTTTTCTTGATTTATTTCTTATCTATAAATAATATATATATATATATATATATATATATATATATATATATATATATATATATATATATATATATATATATATATAACTAAAAAAAAATGTTTATTTATATATCTTATTATACGATTTACTACTTGTAATATATTGTGTTGTACTTTGTAATTTTTAACTTGTCACATAAACTGAAGGCAACAATGTAAACGTGGCTTGGCGATAAGACAATATACGTCTTCTTCTTGCTCCGGCCATATATTATATATGTACGATCTTTCTTATTGTAAATTTTATCAAACGGCAAAGGAAAAAAAAAAAATTAGCATAAGTGCGAACTAGCATAAGTGCGAACTGGCATAAGTGCAGAGCAGTTACAAAAACTGGCATAAGTGCGAACTGGAATAATTGCGAATTGGCATAAGTGCGCCAAATAAAAAGTCATAAGTGAAAATAAATATTTACGTAAGTGAAAATTGCGCTTACGCCACTCGCACTTATGCCAGTTCGAACTTATGAAATTTGCGTTTATTCAGTCGTCCCGTAACAACGCTACTTTTTATTAATGAAAATATACCCTGACAATCCTAGGTCTTTTTATTGGAATTAAATGAATTACTATTATGGGTTTAAGTATTACACTGCGCGACATAACGATAAGACACCTCAAAAAGATATATAAAACTCTACTATACATTTGAATTGAAAACTAATTTTTATTGTAAATGAAAGCAAAGGGTTTACAACACTAAACAACAATTTAACAAATATATTTTTAATGTAACTCGCATTTTATAAAAAAAAAAATGTCTTTTCAGTGTGACAAAATTATAAGACAGTTTTACAAAAAATATTTTATTTGCAAACTGCAGTTGTGGGCAATTAAGAATATTTATTTGATGTAAACACCACAGACAATTTTTTAAACTAGCAGTAAGCAACCCGTAATACGCGTTGTTAGTAAATAAAATTAAAAAAAAAAACCGTGTATAAAAAAGCCTAGAAACTACTTTAAAATAGAAAAGCCTAGAAATTGACGTAACTCGACTAATATTAAATTAGCGTATTCATAATATCAGATGTAAACTTTTGTGAGCTGTCAAAAATTTAGTTTAGGTTTTTTTTTATTAAGTATAAAATAACAAATTAATTAATAATGGGTCGTGATGCACCGTTAGTGTCTCTAACTTATCAAAAATAGATCACTCCGTTAGTTACATGGCTAGAGCTATTAGACGCTGCCAAACTGTGATTAAAAACTACGTTAATAGTCCTCATATGTATGGAATAAAAAAAAAGACCCGGACGTGCATCAACTTTAAGTGACCCTAAATAGGCGAAGTTTGTTGAGACAAGCTTTAAAGTCTTTATTAACTGCGGGTCAAATTGCTGCAGAAGCAGGTGTGATTGCTAATTTAAGTACAGTTCAGCAAGTTATTCATAATGCTTTTCACTTTTCGCGCAAAAATCTTTAGTGAAAACCACCTTTGACAACAAATTACATAAACAATCGAATAAAATTTGCAAAGGACGACATAATATGGAATGAAGAGTGGCAACAGGTAATATTTTCTGATGAAAAACGATTTTGTCTTGATGGGCCGGATAGATAGAATTATTATTTTCACGATTTGCGTAAAGAATCAGTAACACAGAAACAACGTCAAATGGGTGGTGGTGGTGTAATGATTTGGTATGCAATTGGGTATCATGGTAAATCAAAAATTCATTTTATTGATGGAAAAATGAAGACTAAGGATTATCTTTTAATTGTTTAAGAATTTTTAAAACGTGAAGCATCTGTCATAGGTAGTGAAAGTTTTGTTTTTCAGCAAGATAATGCTAGCATTCATACAGCTAAGATAGTAAAGGAATACTTCAATAGCAGTAAAATTGGAACATTGAAGTGGCCAGCTAGATCTCCAGACCTGAAAATTATTGAGAATGCTTAGGCACAGCTGTCACATACAGTGTTTGAAGGTGATGAACAATATAGTTCACTAGCTGACTTAAAATCATCCATCGCATATGCATGGGATGCAATTGATATTTCATTCATAAAAAAACTTGTATGATTCTTTACCTTCTAGAATGATTAAAGTGATTCAAAAAAATGGGAAAAGCAGCCACTATTGATTCTTTAAAATCGAGATGTCTTTTTATATAAATGACAATTTATTTGAATTTTTTTCCAAAAGTGTCTTATAATTTTGTCGTACTAAAAGAACAGTTTTTTTTTTAATAAAATGCATGTTAAGCTTAAAATAAATTTTTTAAAAAGTGGTTTAGTCTTGTAATCCTTTTGGACTTATTTACTATAAAAATTAGTTTTTAAATATAAATGTATATTAGAGTTTTATAAATAATTTTGGGGTCGATCATACCTCATTCAAATACTAGTTTTAAAACCAGTGAATTAAAGTATTAAGCAATTTTTTTTTCTTCTAATAAATATTGTAAATAAAATCTTTACCAATAATAAGTTATTTATTTGATATATTAATTTGTGAATAAATTATAATGCATCGGTGGTGGGAATGATGCATCGGTGGTGGTGGGAAACAATATCATGCATATGCCATATTTTGCATGAGCCATATTTTCACTCAAATGTTTTTATAGTATTTAAAATCACATTGTTTTTTTAGTTTAAGCTGTACATCAATAGTACGGAGTTACACGCCGTCCGGGACTACCTGACTTTCCCCTACTTATATACACTGTATACAATGTGGTATGTACAATGCATGCACACATAAATATATATATTTTAGTTAGAATTAAAATCTGAATAATCATTTTATGTAGGGGTTTTCTATAAAGTGCGTACGTAGATTAAGGAGAAAGGGAGAATGGTTGCCCAAATACGTATGAATGGGTACAAGGAAGGGTGGGGGAAGGGGGTTAAGACAGTGAGTACGTATGCGGTTTGACAATCTTTCATTCCGTATCTCTCCATAAAACTTGATTTCTCTTTTTTAACAAAAGTATTGAATTTTACGAGTTAAAAAATTAATATTATGTTATGTAACATGTTATGTCAAAGGAACAAAAATATTTTTATGTTTTGAAAAATTTATGCGTTGGGGAAAGGGGATATTTTGTAATAAATAATGCATACGTACGCATAAAAGAAGGGAGGGGGAGGTAGGGAGGGAGAGGGTGTCGTTAATAAGTGGTTTTACTGCGTACGTATTTTATTAACGTCTCTTAGCTATCTGGAAATAAAGAAAAAAATATAATGGGAAATTAGTTAAATATCTATAAAGAAAAAAAAAAAGTTTACAAACTATATTGCAATAAATTTCAAAGTACAAAAGATTGTTGTTTAGCAATTCTTTTCTTTTCAAAACTCGTACATGCTTTTCAGGTCTATACTTTCTTAACTTATTTCTTAGTTTACTATACAATTCACAATACTTAATGTGGAAAACACTCTTTCTATGGAGCCAGTGCTTGCAGGACAACTGGTACTAAAATAACAGGATAAAAATATTTTGCAAACCTTTCTGATAATGGTAGAGATTTTTGATGCGGCCTTAGCTCCATATCTATTATATCCCACTTTTTTCACTTAAAATTGCAGAAATAAAGTTATCATTAAACATGTGCAGTGGTAAGAGTATTTGTGATTTTTAGTCTGAACCGATAGTATCCATAGTAACCTGAAATAATAGTATCCAGCCAAGCATTCATTATGCCATCACTTAGCCAAGTTTCTACAACAGTTTCTTGCTCAACGTTTAAAGATTTTTCTGAAATTAAAGATAAATATATTCCTCTTTGATATTTAGTAATTTATTTATTAGTTATTGTGTCAGAAGTCAAAAATAGACTTTTGCATTATATAATCTCGCGTGCTTAATACACGGAAGAAAACGTTTATTAATTATCACACCCATCCCAAGCTTATTAAATTTTCCTCCACCTCCCCCCTCCTACCCCCTATCTTTGTTTATCTTGGTATCCCGTTTTTACTTGTTATCAACAAAAAATATATATATAAAAAAAAAATCAGTGTATACCTTAAAAAATAGAAAATGTAATTACACATTGTGCCATCAGTCAGTTATTAGTTTAAAAAATCAAGATATTTTTGTAAAATATCCGGTCTGGAAGATAAACGATAAGATTGATTAAAAGGAAAACACCAAAAATTTTACCGTTGATTACAAGCAATGTTGAAAAATTTATTTAAAATGTAATATGCTTATCAAGATTTTAATGTTATGAAATATTATATATATATTATGAAATCCTAACTTGAAAATTAATCAAGAGCAAAGTGAGAACTTTGCTCGGTGCTGGAACTATTTTAACTATTGCAAAGAAATTTAAACAATAGAATATTTTTCAAGAAAATAGAAGGAAAAGAGCTACTACTACCAGCATATAATTTTTTTGTTGACCTTAAAAAGTAAAAAAGTGATAATATTAAAAACTTGAGTGAAAAAATAAATTTTTTTAAAGAAAATTTATGAATTTAAACACTTTGTAAAAGTTCTAGCTTTGTAAAAGTTCTACCGAAGCAAAATCCAAAAGAAGTTCAACATGAGACTTTATAAAAGTTATAAATTCTTTATAAAACAACAAAAAAAACTTTAGGAAATATTTTTAAGAAACAAGCAGACGTAGTTGTATTAAACAAAAATAAATTTTCATTTATTTCATTTTACTTAAACCTAATTTATAGTTTGTCAAATATGAGATTTTTATAAAAATATTTTAATTTAAATTTTACTAACTCGCCATAACTACGTTGAGTATCAGTCACAAAAATAAAAACTTTCAGTGTAATCAAGCATTAAAAAACTCGAATATTTGAAAATCAGCTTTCGGTTAATTCTTCACCATAGTATAAAACTTATTAAAAAAAAAAGTACAAACATATTAAACCTTATTGAAAGTAATTTTAATCCTTTTAAATTTTTCTTAGTTTTTATGTCTTTTTCAAACCGTGTCAGACCTGGTAACTGATATTTATTTTTATTTATAACTGATATTTGATACTTAAGGAGACATTTTTTTTGAAGTGCAGTTCAAACAATTATATAAACAATATCAATCAAACAACTACATATTTCATCATAATAACTTTCTTTTATAATAGAAAAAGCATGCAAAATTGATCAATTCACATTAGAAGAAGCTACCACGTGGTTAATAAAACTGCAATTGCACACTTTTTACACAACTTGCAATTGTATTACAAACTCTGAAGAAATTTTGGCACAAGATATTTTACCTATTTTAGTTTATATTAAAGTTTTTGGCATTACTGAAAATTGGTGCTCTTCTTTTTGTTTTGGTCGTTTCTTCTTGAAACGACCTTTAGAAGAGCATAGTTCTGTTATCGCAAATTCTTCATTTGACTTCGTGATTTTCTTGTATAAGTGATAATATACCTGATTTCTCTGTAGTTTCAGAGTCTGAAATAGACCCTGGATAATTGCCACTGAAAAAAGCATCTATAAGAATATCAGTTAATACATTGCCAGTTTTTAGAAATATATCTGGCATTTTCTTTTGAAGAAAACTACCATCAACTTTTAAATATATTTTGTTAAAAAGGGTAGCACATAATATAACCCAACCAATGAAAATTCTATATTCAGTTGTATAGGACTTTTCAAGCAAAAATGACAAAAATTTTAAATCTAATCCATGACAACATACAGTAATAATACTAAAGAACTGTTTTTATTCATTATTAACAGTTTTTCACATGTATTTAGTCGATATGGGTAAGGTATAAGATGAAAATACAAAATTTTCTTTCGATACCCCACATAAATATTAAAATGTTTGTTTTCTTGATTTATTATTTTCATAAGTAAATTCTTTTGCTTTCCAATTACCTATGCTACCAGAGAGATGCATAATTTCAACTTTTAACTCTTGACTTTTTATACTTAAGTATCTTATTTTTAAATTTAGTTATGCAATTATCTTTTTCTTCTATAATAGTTTGCAATAATAAAGTTATTTTTAAGAATTTTTTAAGTTATTTTTTTAACTCAGTTTTTGAAAATTCTCTAGTTTTTTTCATAATTTGTTTAGTACGAACTACAAAAGGTTCGTCTTTTTTTTAAACTATATATGTTTTGAGCTATCGACAAGACAGTTTTATAGGTAACTAGTTAGGTTTAGGTTTTATAGATTACTACAACGGTACAACAATATTTGTAGAGTAGTCTAAGATCTGTAGACTTTTGTCCAAGATCATCTTTATTTTTTTTTTACTTCAACAACATCTGTCCAATATCATCGGAAAATTCAATGACCCCTAACAACATTTTTGGGAAGATGTAACTACATCTGGTAATTTTTCTCCAAGTCCAAAAACATCTGGAAGAATTTCCTCCAGATGTAATTGCATCTGAAAAAAATCTTATATGTAACTACATCTGGTTAAAATAATGCATTTAAATTTTTTATATTTTTCCAGATATAACTACATCTAAAAAAAACAAACATTTGTAACTATATGGTTAAAATAATGTGTTATAATTGAACTTGTCACTTCGAAAAAAACACAAGTCCATTTACTAAACCTTTTCAAAATCAACAAAAACGTGATTTTTATGAAAATAATGTCTACGCTGCTAGAGAAATTAAACATAATAGATAAATAAATAACATATATAACTTATGTAAGTTTTATTTTTTATAAAAAAAATATAAATCATACAGATATTTTTAATTTAAATTTATAAACAATTAAAAGTTTTGGACTTGTGCTTTTTTCGAAATGACAGGTTCAATTTAATAATTTAATAAAATCCTGTAGTTATTTTTAATATAATTGAAAAGATATAACCACATCTGTAGATTTCACAGAAGTAATTGTACAGATGTAGTTATTCTTAAGATAACTGAAAAGATGTAATTACATCTGTAAAATCTCCAGATGCACTTTGTTATATGCTGTTTGATGTTGTTATACTTTGATAATTGAAAAGATGTAACTACATCTGTAGTAATCATATACTTTTTACACAGATGTTATTAGACATCAATAAAATTTCAGATGTTGTTGGACATATGTTATTATACCATAGTGTATTTACAGATGTTATTGGACAGATGTAGTTATACTTCATTATATTTACAGATATTTTGGCACAGATGTTATTAGACATAGAAAAAACTGACATTGACTTGTTTTATATCTTCTTGAAGGATTTTTGAATATTAACAATTTCTTTGCTTTCTGTGTTGTCGAAATTGTGTTAATATAGCATTTTTTTTTAATTTATAACTCTCTTTTCAAGCTTTTCCAACTGATCTGGAACTGATCTTTTTTGTCAATTCATTCCAGAAGATTTAAAAAACTTCATATAAAGTTTCTGAATATCTATTAATAAATTATTAAATCTCTCTGCAATCAATAAGCTTTTATAGGATTTCCCACATCTTTAGATCATAAGTTGTTAAAACACAAATACGAGCTTCAATACCATTTCATAATTTAGAAAAGAATTAAACTGTCTAAAAATAATGAGTTTAAAATATGAACAACAAATGTGCTTTAAAAAAAATATGAACAACAAATGTGCTTTAAAAAAAATATGAACAACAAATGTGCTTTAAAAAAAATATGAACAACAAATGTGCTTTAAAAAAAACTCTCAAGTTACCATTTGTTTCCAGATCTGACGCAGTTTGAAAAAAAAAATTTAATACTAAACTTATTGCTTATACTTTAATACTAAACTTATTATTATAAAAATGATATCAAGTTTTAAAGTTTTTTTTCACTTGCAAAATTTTATTGCGGTAGTTCCTCCTTAATTTAAATTTATAGCATAATTTTTTTTTATATATATTTTACAAGTTTTAACAATATATACTTTTATTACAAATACATTGAAAACACTTCAAAAATAATTGAAATAATATTAAGATATATTTGATGTGCAGTGTAATATAATAAAGTAAAATAGCATTACAACTTATACTTTGAGAAGACAAGACAAGTCAAATACCTTTAGTTATGTAGTCAAGGAGAAATCACCTAAAACTGTCATCGAGAACCTTTTTTTTACCAATTTCTTATTAACTACATGAGATACTCATAACTATTTTATTTATGACTCATTATATTTTTCAATATAATTAGTTGTGTTATGAAGCATGAAGTATAACATCATTAGCATAACATAGAAAAAATAATTATGATGAAACTGCTGTTAAAAAATGCATATTTAACCACAAGCCACTCTAGAATAAAATTGTTTTATGCATGTTCCTTAAAAAATATTAACTTAGATTGACGAGGTTTTAATTACAGGCTGACAACAAATTTAAATTAAGTTTAAGAAAAAAATTTTATTCATCCTTTTATAAGTCTTTTATTCCTACTTCCCCCCCCCCCCCCCCCCCCATTTGTATTAAGTACGCTAGAGTAATTTTTAAACTTTAAGTAATATAATTTTAACTCTGGTCATAAAATTTTGGGATTAGATTCTAAACATACATTGCTATTTAATATCATCAGTCAACATTTTTAGTATAAAGCAATTGATTAAAGTTATTCAAGTAAGTTATAAACATTTAACACAATATTAAAGCCATAGTTTAAAATTTTTCAAATGAACAATATTTTAATTTTACATATTTATCTTATCTAAAGCTTATCCCACATTTTTCCATTTAAAAACTTTTAGCAATTCTGAAAGTTTCAGCATTATCAATAATTTTCTTGATATTACTTGAGAGTTCCAACGTGTATCCTTAGGAAGTTAAAGCCTCTAATCATTTAAAAACGCAAAAATTTAGAGCCTATTTTGTTTTATTAGTCAATATATTAACAAAATTCACTGAATAAAAAAGTGAAAAAATTTTAAAACTATATAATACAGTAATATATTATAAACAATATTTACTCACACATGGATGGTAATGATTTTAGAAGTATAACTTCAGTTCAAAAAAATTTGGTGTAGCATGCTTCTTAAACTGAAGTAATGTGCTGATCACTTTAATAACTTCTTTTACCATTTTCATATTTTTCTCATTGACTTTACAAATGGCAAATACCTGTTGGAAGAAGACAACTAAATTTTCTGAAATTACTAATTTTAGATGTTTTTAAATTAAAGTAATTACTTTGGTACAGTACAGTATTATTATACTTACATCTTACTCATGAACCTTCTTGAGGTTACTATGTGAATGGTTAATTGTACAAAATATTTTAAAGTTTTTTTTCACCTCTGGCATCTATAGTGGATATAAAATTTGGGGTCTTTCCATTATGTACACTGTGAGCAATAATTGGATCTTTTATTTCCTTTATTTGTTCTTTCTTTTGTTCTATGTTCTTTTATTTCTTTATATATATATATGTCCCAACATCAATGATTAGATTGTCTTTTAAAATAGAAACCTTTCCGGAAACAATTTTTGAAAACTTAGACACCTAATTCCTTTCATCCGCTAATTTTCTTGTAAATCTAGGAGGCATATTATTTTATTTATTGAAATCTATTATGTTTCTAAAAGTAAAGACTTTTATGATTAAACAAAATATTTTATTTGAATAATGTTAACTATTTATAACTATGAATGGGAAGTCCCAAAAACGAGTCCACTTTTGAAATCCGTAAGATAACTAATTACTCTAGGAGTAAGTAGTTATCTTATGGATTTCAAAACTCTTTGGTGTTGAGGAGCTTTAGAAATGGTAAAAGACTTATGAGGTAATTTGGCAACAAAAAAAAATAATAATAATTCAGGACATTTAAGTATTTATATTTAACTATTAAATTTGAAATTAAACTTCCGATCCCTGTTTATAAAGTTTAACTTTAATAAAGAAAGAGTTAATAAGGAAAAAAATACTTTTTAATTTTTAACTATGATCAGTTTAAAAACACAGAACAACACAGAACAACATTTGGGATATTTTTAAAAAACCTGGATTTTTTTAAATTATGGTACAAACTCATATCTAACTAAAAAATTTCAAAACTTTGAATGCGGTGTTTCATTATACCAGGATAGTACAACAAGTAACATTAAACATGTTAAATTAAAGATCGATTAAAATTCAAAATAATCAATTAGATTTCTTGCTATAATGTTTAACATATTTTACTGTTTATTTCTTTTCTTCAATAATGTTTATTTAATTTAAATCTTCGCACTATAAAGAAAATATATTTAGTAAGGTCGTGTATTTTGTTTTCTACTAGCTCGATGTCGTGGAATTAAATCATCTCTTTGAGGACCATATCTTAAAGGAGAATTACCAAAACTGCTTTCTCTTCTTAATTGGTCGATGGAATTACTCACTAATTGAAAAACTGAACTTTGTTGGTTACTTGATCTTTCATTTCTATCATATCCTTCATGTCTATATGTCAAGCTTTCAATTCGACGACTGTCATCGTATGTTCTCGAAAATGGATCAGAAAGATTACGATTTTCACCCCGTCTACCGCCTTGATAGTCATAAGGTGATAAATCATTATCTCTATCATATCTGTTAGAATGACCATTACTTCTTACCTCATGAGGGCTGTTCCTGTAGTCAAAGTTATTTCTTTGATGATCTACATGACTTTCTCGGCTTGAATATTCTCTTCTTCCAGAAGGTGGTGATCTATCATCAACCCATGAGTTATTCATTAAAGATTCATTTAATTGTGGCTGACCAGGTTTATGTGGTGTAATTATAGGGGAGTGGTCATTGCTAATTGATTTGACAGGAGCTTTTCCGTCTTTTGATGGTTTGCAGTAAATTGGACGATTAAATAACTTCAATGTGTTAAACAGCTCACAAGAAAATGCAACAGCACTAATATCGCTGTAAGTAACAAATGCAAATGTTTTGGATTTACCACTACTACGGTCAATTGGGATATGAACATTCTTTAACGGACCAGCCTAAAAAACAAACCTTTTTTAAATTGCGTTAAAATTTAGTTTAACTAAAATACATTTTATTGCAACATCGTAAACAAATATTTACAATCATAAACAAATCTATAAGTAAATTTGATTCTTTAAAAGTTATTAAAATTTTAACGACAATTTTAAAGAAGCAAAGATACCCAGATATTAATTTAAAGAAAAATCAGAATTAACTTTGATATTAACAAGAATATATATTAAAGTTTTTAAAAAAGATAGGAAATAAAACTTTTGTTGACTATTTATCTCAAGAATTTTATATTCAGTATAAAAATATTAAAAAGTGTTTATACATACTTGTAAAAAAAGTTCCCATAGGAGTTCTTCTGTCACACGACTTTCAATATTAGATACAAAAACTGTGCATTCAGGATCCTGATAATTAGTTGCCATTTTTTATATTGTAATTTTTTTTTTTTTATCAAACTTTCAATTTTTATTAATTAACTTTTCTTTTACATTGTATGTTAAGATGTTATGTTTAATTAACTGTAAATGAAAATACGAAAAACACTTTTTGCAGAATATATATATATATATATATATATATATATATATATATATATATATATATATATATATATATATATATATATATATATATATATATAAACTATGTTAGTGTATTACACAAGTAGAGTGTTCAATATTCTAAAAGAAAAGAGAAATAATAAATTAGTAATAAATTACTTGTTTTTCTGTCAGTAGGTTCTTTAGAAAGCTTCTTTTTTTTTTTTGCATTCTTATGAACCTACTGATGGAGAAACAAGTTGTTGAAAAAAAAATTAGATAAGTGTTTTTACTAATTTATATATATATATATATATATATATATATATATATATATATATATATATATATATATATATATATATATATATGTATATACATATATATATTTATATATATATATATATATATATATATATATATATATTCATAAACAATACAAATTTTCTAATTTTTAAAACCATTTTTATATATATATATAAATATATATATATATATATATATATATATATATATATATATATATATATATATATATATATATATATTATATATATATATATATATATATATATATATATATTATATATATATATATATATATATATATATATATATATATATATATATATATATATATATATATATATATATATATATATATATATATATATATAAATGGTTTTAAAAATTAGAAAATTTGTATTGTTTATGAATATATATATATATATATATATATATATATATATATATATATATATATATATATATATATATATATATATATATATATATTTATATATATATATATATAAATGGTTTTAAAAATTAGAAAATTTGTATTGTTTATGAATATATATATTATATATATTCATAAACAATACAAATTTTCTAATTTTTAAAACCATTTTTTATATGTATGTATATATGTATATATATATATATATATATATATATATATATATATATATATATATATATATATATATATATATATATATATATATATATATATATATATATATATATATATATATATATATATATATATATATATATATATATATATATATATATATATATATATATATATATATATATATATATATATATATATATATATATATATATATATATATATATAAACGCAGTTAACTTATAGTATAACTTATACTATAAGTTATACAGTTTGTTGCTGAGTTAATCACAGTAAACATTGTAACGATGTAAAAATATTTTTTGACTAATGAAGTCAAAAAAAAAATTCGTTTAAAAGAAAAGTTTTTTAACATCAATGGAATTCTAAAAAACCAAAAAGTTAGTAATCTAAAAATTAAATAAAGAGGCAACAAATTTAACTTAATCTTCAATACCACCATTTTATTATTTTCAAGTCCGCAAATTTGTAATGGTGTTAAATAAAAAGTTAGTTTGACAGCAAGTTGTTGAATTAGTCGTTTTATGCAATTCACGCCAAAAATATAAAATAAAACCACTTTAATAGGTACTTTTGTGAGGGCCACTATATATATATATATATATATATATATATATATATATATATATATATATATATATATATATATATATATATATATATATATATATATATATATATATATATATATATATATATATATATATATATATATATATATATATATATATATATATATATATATATATTAGTGAGATTCACTGTGCATTGTGGGACGCAGGGACGCCCAGAGGGTGGGGGGGGGGCTACTGAGTACGTTCACGGGTCACATGAAGCTCTAAATAAAAATTTTTGTTATTATGAATAACAAGTGAACTGGATCAGTGTTGATAAACCCTTAAGTGCAAAAGAGTCATCGTCCCCTTTAAATCAAGTAGTCAAGATATAGTTTAAAAGCTTTATTTGATTTTTATTTTTCATAATCGTTGATTTCACTCCATTAACGGTTACAACGATACTTTTTTTAGAAGGTTCATGGTACCAACAGTCTTGAATTTAACAATAATGGAAAAATAAATGGCACATTCCGGACGTGTCTCGTACGGAACAAATCACCTTTGTTCTTTGATTCATCAGCCTTAGCTCTGAAAATCATTGAATAGTTAAAGAAGGTAAAAAATCTGGAAAAAAGAAGGGTGCTGAGATTGGGAAGCTGATTCTGGACGTTTCGGATCATAGCTAAATTGAGTTAAAAAACTGTAGAAGCCAGGGCTATGATAACGGGGCTAACCTCTCCAGTGTAAATAAAGGAGAGTAGGGTTGTATTCTTGAGAAAAATCCTCAAATACATGTGTTGCCATGCGCAAAAAAAAGAAATAACGAAAGTGTTGCAACTTCTTCAAGAACTTAAACTAGAGGATCAAATGACTTTAGTAAAGACGATAAAAAAAAGTTCAATCATTTGAGTTATTTGTCCTTACCTTTTTCTTGTTCAAAGTTCTTATAACTGTCGATATCAGCCTTCTTTTCCAATTAGAAAGCATTTCTTTCAATAACAAGAGAAATTTTTTAGAGACTCTAACCAATGATGTTGACCAACTTTTTGGCAGCAAATTCTCCAAGAAAAGAAAATAATTTGGTCTAACCACAGACCTACAGATCTGAAGCCAGAACTCTAACCACAACTCCACGGCTGCATATGATAGTAGATACCGTGACAAAATACAGTAAAATTTATGCTTAATTTAATATACCCCGGAAGTTAAAATAGAGCACCAACGAAAAATTGCCCCAGTCACCACATAGGCTCTGTCTCGCACAGCTCTTTACAGCTCACAACCCGTATAAATGAATTCAAGACAGAGAGATTTAACGTATAATAAGTTGATTTGTTGCATGAAATTTGAATCAAATACAAAATTTCTGTAGTAACATGATTCAATTCATTGATCTTTGAGCTTTTTTTAATTTTTATTTAATTTAAAAAACCATTAAGTTAAAGATATATAAGTATAATCTAGAAGTTCCAGAAGATTTTTATCATAAGCAATTAAAAAACTTATTGAAAAATGTGTCTTTGCTTGATTCTGAGGTTGAAAATTTCAAAAGACATGAGGTTTTTTTTTCAGATTCTAAAGATATTTATATGTACAAGCTGCAGATTTTTTTTTTGTTGGTTTATTTATTATAAATAAATAAACCAACAAATAAAAATCTGCTAGTGAATAATTGTAATGAATTTTCGGCCTTTACTAGAAACTTTAAAACAGTTGAGGTTTTTTGATCTGACATTTTTTTATCGTTGAAAAGAATAAGATTCTTAGCATTTTGAACAGCAGATGTTCAAAATGCTAAGAATCTTATAAATCAAACTTATGAAAATGATCTTCAATCATTTTCATAGGTTTTCCTTATTTTAAATAAAATTTAATAAATTAATAAAATATTTATAAAATACAATAACATTTTTTGCAAAGAGAGTATTTTTGCAACGGCAACAAAGTCCAGTGGAAAATGCATTTATATCAAAACTGAACCATTCGTGTATATTGTCTTGAACTATTGTTACCAATGATGGCATACTACAAAGAGAGTAGTTGTCCGTTTTGAAAAATCAAAATGAATCTCTGGATTCATTCTGATTTTTTTTCCTTAAAAGATGAGCCATATGATATGTAATAATTAACTTAGGTAAAAATAATTTATAAAATAAAAATGTTATAAAATTTAGTTATAAAATTACTAAAATTATATAAATTTTAACATTTAATATTTCTAAACAAGTCATCGACCGATTTAAGAGCTCTATTAGTGAAACTGTAAACCATATTTGGAAGATAAAGACAATGGAATGCCACGTAGGTTTCTATGATATTTGTTATAACTACAATAATAAAAATGATGTAGTTATTAAAGACTATTTTTATTACTAATAAAAACGATATATTTATTAAATATATCGTTTGGAAAATATCAATTTTGGACTAAGAAGGAACGTTTCGGATTTTATTTTAAATACATTCCTACTCGTACCTATACATATTAATAGAATCTGAAAAAAATCCACATGTCTTTTAAAATTCAACCTAAAACCTTCAGAATTAAACAGTTTAGTATGTGTTATAAATAAATAATAAATATAAATGTGTTAATAATTGACAGTAATATTCTATTTCCACCATTGATATGCGGCGTTTTTGTATTTAAAGGTATTCTTCTGGTGAGGAGACGCATAAGTTGTCAAATGACGTGTCGCTTCTTTCAAAACATAAAGTAAAAAGTCAACAAAGCTTCATAAAATAACTAAACCTATTGAAGAAAAACTTTAAAATTTATTTAAGACAACTATGATCAAAATTTAGCAAACCGTCACTAAGTTATTTTTAGCAATTGCTACAAGAACCTTTATTGTTTGGAAAAGAATAATGCAAAATACCTAGGGTTGAAAATTTCCCGGAAATTTTCAACTCGGGTAATTTTCTGGAAAATTTCCGCAAATTTAGGGAATTTTCAAAAAAAGATAATTTATTTTATAATTATAATTTTATGTCATATTTAGGTAGTTGTTATGGACAATTTTATCGTAAAATATTGTGAAGCATATTATAAATTTTATGGAAAAATATCGTTAAGCAGATTATAAAAATTTATTATTTTTTTAATTTTTTTTTTTTTTTAATTTTTAAATTTTTATTTAGGTGCCCCAAGAAGTCTTTACGGTCTTATCATAGAGCAATATGGATGAGCATTTAATTTGGAAGTTCACGCCTCCTTCCTAACCGATGTTGCCAGAGAGGGTTTGAACCAGGGATCCTTTGTTTCTGAGGCAATTGCGCTACCACTGCGCCACGGCTGCTTAAAGATTTTTTAATTATAACTATAAGTAGCAGCTATGATAATTTGTTTTCAAAATTTTCAAAAACTGTTTTATCCTGTTATTTATTATGCATATTGATTTTATTGCCGTTGCAAGCTTTTTTTTAAGGCTAAACATAACTTGCACCCACATCCCTAAAAAGGATAGGGCATTTTTTAATATCT